AATGTGTGTCATAGTTCATTCTGAATTCGAAATTCTTCAATTAAAATATTTCATAGTTGAAAATGTCACTCTTTTTGAAATATTTCAATGAAATAATTAAAAAAATAATTTTCTTTTTTTAACCGTGTTCGGTTATAGATGATATAATAATATATATTGACTATACAAAGAAAACATTAATAATGAATAACTTATCAGTTAACAAAGGCTTATGAATTTCTATAATAGTATGTAAATCCATATAGTTATAAATTAAGTTTGTAACTGTATAACTGCGTAGGTATAAAATATGGTTGATTGGCATTAATTGTATTACAAACTTCTAAATCTAAGAAAAACTAGTGTTCGCGCCCAACAATAGGGGCTACCCGAAGGACCACTCGATGACAACCGAGACAAGATTATCACTAGTTGTGCCTTTTGCAATGGTGCCTACTAATTAAGAAATAGGCAACTGAATATACCTACGCCTTATTATCTAGGGATAGGCAATTATAGATACACGACGACAACAAGGATGGGATAGACCTATTTATGGATTTAGGATGGTTCAATTTAATTATGGGTAGGGGGTCTCTGTGGTCGATTCGGTCTGGTGCAATGACCACAGAGCTCACAAGAAACAGGGACAATACTTAAAGCTATCTTAACTATACTGAAGTCTTGTGCTGTTGACCGGAACCGACGGTGACCTGGACGACCTGGGCGGCCTCTCACACAACATACGTTGCTGGCGGACTTACGCGGACGACTCGCTCAGTACGATGACTACAAATTACGGAAATCCGGAGACGGTGATACACTGCCGACGACGCAGCTCGGAAAACTGAATCTTGAAGACCTGGGCGGCCTCTCACACAACGGATGTTGCTGGCGGACTTACGCGGACGACTCGCTCAATACAATGATGAGAATAATAATGAAAAGAGACTTACGCATTCAGCTTGGGTAAGAGATCGAGTTTTATTGGTTGGATAATGGTATAACAGCAACACAAAATATAATAATAATAACAGTGAGCAACCAGGTGCACATTGCAAAATAATTAAGTATATAATATAGATTTGGTGCTCACTGTTGTAGTGAATAATACATAATAATATATAGATCGCTTTAATAGCGGATCAAAAAACAAGAGCGATACAACTTTTTGTAGAAGATGGTATATGACAAAAAAAAAACGCAGTATAAGATAATATAATAAAAACAAAAACAGGGGCGTTGGCCGTATAAAGTAAACAGAGAAAAAATATATATGATTACACAAAATGATAATCACGTTCAAAGACAGAGGATATACAATACTAACGGACAAAGAACATTGATAATTATAATAAATACGAAAATAATAATAATACACATTTAATTAATGAGAGGTGTCGGTGGAAACGAGAGATGATTAGGAAAGGACGGTCGTCGTCGCGGCACAACGGCAACGATCTCGTATCGCCAATTATTAGGCGCGAACAACTAGAATCTTAGGTTATTTAAAATCAACAATATTATACAATAAAATAATACAGTGGTATTCATTTTATTGTTGTATAAGCACTTAGTTTTTACTTATATAAAGTAGTATAAATAAAATAAAATTTTTAAATAATTATGAAACAATTTTCCAATATTAAGTACCTAATAAGTAATAAATAAACAAATATCAAACATATTTTGTTTTTAAGAGTTTTAATATACCTATTTTATGATGTGGAGTTAGCTTGTGCGCTTGTAGCTAATAGATAAAAGGCCATGTTTAAATTTGTTGTATTATAGATATTTTGTTAAATAATTTTTACATCATATTATGTAAGCATAACATTAGATACATAAGATACATATTTTCTTTGTTTCATATAATAAACCTTTTTTGAAAATATTCACCTGCAAGTTGATAACTATAAGCTATTGGATATAATAACAAACATTTTTTTCATAAAAAATAAAAAATATTCCAAGAAAATGAATTTCATGAAATTTTGGAACCCTTATTTTGTACCCACTAGGTCATAACATTATTTTGAAAACCCAATACGTGAACAACTAAACCAAAAATAATCAACGTCCGGACCTTGCTGCCGTCTATAAAAAGAGTAAATCTACTACCGTGTTTTCACAATAATAAATACCTATTATATTAAACACCGAATACGCGTGCACGACAATTCCAACCCTGTATACTGTATAGTATACAATATTATATTTAATGGGTGTGCGAGCTTGCGGTGTTTGTTTAATATTGTCTCCCCCTGCCCCTAAATATGGCTTACGATCTCTGCTCTGATACGACGACCATGAAGAATACATATACACTGAACACGCACATCCACGCGCACATTATATATGGACGTCTCGTGAGAAACCGGACAATTGTCGTCGGCTTATTTTCTCCCATATCGTCTGTATATAGGTATATATATATATTCCGTATTTCCTCATAACGTTTTCCAGCGATATTACAACTCCACCGCCGCCAAATATTACGCCAAACCAAACATCGTCATAAATATTTGTACGTCCCGGCAGTATCCGATCTCACGGTTTTGCCTTTGCCGCAGACTTCCGGACGCCAGTCGTTATAAATACACGCCGTCGTCTCTGTTGTAATACATTACAATTGCAGGACATTCTATTATACCGACGGACCGGATGCAACCGGAAGTCCTTAATCGTTACTGCGGTGCAACGTTTCTCCGGCTGGAGACGACGATTCGTCTCAATAATTGCGGTTTAACGTCGATTTGCCGGTCAACGTGATTTGAGCCTTAGAAATAACTGCAGTACAATATCAACGACAAACAGCGCACGTTCATGATATTATTATTACGATACTCATCAAAATGTACAATAATTAACATTATTTGCAATATCGACACGCTTTCTACGTATTGTTTCCTGCAATGTGAGTTTCGATGCATCCTCTCCGCAATATATTGATTAGACATTTTACAAACGCAATCGTAGTGGCCCGATCTGCATTTTTAATTATCGTTCATAGACCATTCGCCGCCGACATTGTTCGAAATATTGTATTATTTTATATACCAGATAACGACCTCTGCAATATAGGTACTTTCTTTTCGAAATAACAGTGGTTATTTGCTTATTTTCCTAAGTTCTCTGCCGAAAACTTGTTACAACAAATACCTAATCTAAAACTTGATCTGAAACAACAATATTATAAAGTTAATAATATAATGACCCGAAAATAAACGCGAACAAAAGAATTGAAAGAACGACCGATGTTAATAAGAATGCACAAACAAACCAACCAACGTAATTATTTTTTTTTCTCAAATAGGTGTAAGCGAAGAAGTCATGACAATATTATAAAAACAAAAGATGAGGTTTTTTTTTTAAACCGGTACCTATATAATATATTTTTAAAGTTTTTAAATACCGATTAATACAACGGTCCTTTGTACACTAATTATTACGCTGAAAAAAATTAATTTAGTCCAAATAAGAAGCAACGCAATATTTATTCAAACCAGTGATGTTTATTTTTCAATATTCAAATATCGTTATTTAAAATTAATATATACAAAAATATTTATAATACTATCTGTACAAAAAATTAACAATAGGTATGTTGAATTTCAAAAAAAAATATCAAAAGGATTTATTCTTTTGCGTATTTTATGTTGGTTTTGATTGCTTGTAACAATTAGTTATTTAAAACAACTTTATAATAATTGTATAAAATATTATCTTTGCAACTAGGGCATCAGGCTTTTGTTATTGATAACACTAAGAAACATATTTGGAATTAAAAATCGATTTTAACAAATTATCGTTATATAATATACAGATAAAAAGAATTACTGCCATGTAGACATGTATAACCACACTTTCAAGTATATAGATATTTCTTTAGGCGTAGTAAACAATATTAATCAAATATGCGTATTATAGCAGCTTTAGTATCGGCGCAGTTTACAAATTTATTCAAGACGAGACAAAGTGCTCCGAGAGAATGCGTATTCAATTATATCAAAAATGGAAATACGTGCTTAAGTTTTAAATATATTAGTATTGGTCTTGTGTAAAGTATCTAGATGGTGTTAACTTTGTAGAAGAAAATAGTATAATAATATTTTTCCGATACCTTTGAATCCGGAGAATAAATAGGTGAATTCTTTGAACTTATAATTAATGCAACAAATAAGCATAGAAAAACAAGAAATTATTTAAAAATGTATTTATTTACAATTATTGTTGTGAGTTACAAAAGGTAATAGCATAATGCCGTACTTTTGTGTAATCAAATATCATAGAATATCATTTCAATATTTGAATAAAGTGTTCGAATGTCACGAATAAAATTAAAAATTAGAAGATACAATACAAATTTAAGTTTAACGAGAAATTGTATTCTCATCACAAGTTTCCTTTATTTATTATTATACAATAGAGACTTTTTCCATTGTGTTTCATCAATTTATAATCAGAATATAATGCTTGCAATTGCAACATGTTTTAAGACCTTTAACAAATTTCATATTGTATTCGATTTTCACGAGTAGAATGAAGATACCAATAACTAATAGTTAATATTTGGAGCAATCTATCTTGATTGTGTTGAAATAAATTAAATTTAAAAAGAAAATAACAAGAACACGGCGATGACTGATAGTCAATAATGTCATACGGTTTTTGGTTTGTAAAGTAAAATAAAGTCAGATCGGGAAACAAAACTTATGTAAGCACAGTAAGTACTAAGATAAATTATAAACAACAATAGTAATCTTATTGTTTACAAACAAAGTATTTTGTTTATTGATATTGCGTCATAATAACATGGAAATCAATACTGTGATGGAAAATGTTCGATAAGAAAAAACGCAGGTGATCAGAATAATATTTTGTGAACTTTTCGAGCCCCCCCCCCCCTCTCCCTCTCCGCGAGCGGGGTAGTCGTTGCTTCTGTCACTGCTACCAGCGCGTAAAGCGCAATGAATTTATTAAGTAAAAAAATCATTTTTTCCTTCTATACATTGTTTTAGCATACCAATGGTTTGCTTGGCGGTGTTGTGCGCCATATCATCGATGATCGTATGGTCTTCGGTGGCGGGTTTCGACATGTTAGACTGTAACCGACAGCTGTCCACTTTCCGAGTGTCCAACACCGACGTGAACGGAAGGACGTGTTCCGATGAGATCAACGTGATGTCGTGCTGGGGAAGATGCGACTCAAATGAGGTATATACCACGGTTACCTACTGTACAGTAACCATCAGAGTGTACTGTTTTTGTTTTTTTTTTTTTTTTGAAATGATGATATTATTATAGCGTGTGATGCAGCGGCGTCACGAACACTTTATCCGCAAGGGAAATATTGTTGCCGCCCACGCGAACACGATATAGAATAAAAACCGGCATCGTCTAATTTTTTTTTGTCTGTTGTAAAATAAAAATTGATATTATTTTACGACATCGATTAACTTTAGTGTAACCTAAGACTTCCAATAGATAATAAGTACCCCACAATATGATAATATTATCTTCTCAGTTTCCATACTGTACACGACAATATAGAGGATGAAGTGTTTTATTGCCTATGAATGCTATCGTTTAAAGTAAATCGGTAAAGTGTACCAATCGTCCGATGCTAATTTATCGTACGCTGAATTGAAATCAACATATTACTTATTCCGTAATATGATAGTACAACATAAAAACATGTTTAACAAAATTATGCAAAAAACTGTTTGGGGCAATTTCTCCCAAAAAATATGTTCGTGACGTCACTGGTATAGTATGATGTATATCCCGCGCACCACGATAATAATATTTTATCTACCAATCTTTTATTAATATTCGAATCACTAGGTAATTCAACATTTTGTGATCACGTAATTCGAAACATAATTTATCTACATTTCGGAAAAAATTAATTTTCAATGGTTTTTATACGATTTAAAATATTTGACAGCAGAAATTTGATGTTCGCTCATAAAAATGTAATATATTAAAATAATTTTATGTGTGTTCAAATCAAAAGAGTCAAAAATGATGAAATGCTTCCACAACGCATTGATATAATATAATAGAAACCACGTGTAAGCAAATTGGTGTAATAAAAACAATTTAAAAAAACGCATTGATTTATAAATAGTTTACACTAGCGATAACGCAAAATATGATGACGCAAAGTGGTAAACACTTACAAATAAATAATTGATATTTTTTGACATAACTGTTGATTGATTGAACTATAATCGTTATTATTGCACACCATATTTTTCGGTATTCTCATTTTTCAATTATATCTATGAGAAATATTTGGGAAATGTTTTTTTGCCAACGACGATAAAAAAAAAAATATAATCCTATACTTTCTTTTTACCAGATAGAGCTTAAGATATAATATTGCGTGACTGGTTGAATCTAATCTTCGTTTAAAATCCCTAAAAATGTCATTTGCTTTTACTTCATGGGCACACGTTTGTGTAGCGATTTCTGTAGTTCGTGAATATTCAGTATTATCATTTATCATTCCTACCCAACCTACATTAGGTCTATGATCGATAAGACGTATTCTTCGGCCCAATTAAAAAAAAAAAAAACATTTGAAATTATACATAAATGTGAGAGATCACAGTGCTAACTAAGTACGAATTCATACTTTTTGAGTGTGCAGAAGACCGTAGTGTCTATCTACTTGCCTGTTCAGCAGTCCTATCAAAAACCATTTTGGTACGGTTCATTCTTAATTAAACCTTATAATTTTCGAAAATTATAGTAGATAACTTCTGGCTCATAACGAAACTAGAACATACTATAATATAGTATGTACGGTTATTACTCAGCAGTACGCCACGTGATCATTTTCAAATGAAACAAAAATAACCCTAAGCATGTACCTACTTTTAAAGCTCTATAAGCGTAATGTATATTTTATTCATCAAGTTATCAACGGAATAGACATTTAATTAAAATATCGTAAATCATCTCTTTGTTCGTGTCTGTTTATGTGTGGTGGCCGTTCATAATAAAATAGACTTCCTCATGTTAAATTCGTTAATTTTTAAAAAAAATATTTTATAAAATATTTGGATTATAATTATTTTCGCGATAAACTCAATTTGTTGGGTCACTTATTTGGCTATATTAATCAACTTTATAGTATTGCGCATTGGAATAATGCCAAGGAAAATGTAAAGCAGAATTAAATAAACACAAGTCTGTACCTATAAACAATTTTACATTATTGTATGCGTCAAATTGTCGGGGCAATACTTGAGTATTGTTCAACGCTATGTATGTGACTCATTGTAAACAATACGTTTAATTGAATCACTTGAGCGTGTTCGTTATATCGGCTACAAACGAAATCGAAATAGTGGTGACCTTTCTCCTTCTTTCTCCGCATCCCTAAAAATAATTCAAGAGAGTCTTAACATAGAACGTGTGGATACTGGGCGTAGGCTTATTGACATTTATTTACTTCATTTTCAAACTTTTAAACGGATCCATCTATATCTTGTCCTGAGCTACTAGAACTCGAACAATTTCACGCCCCTCACTGCCCGCTTCATTCTCGTCCAACTTTCTCAATAAAAACCCACCGGACATCATATGGATATATTGACCCTACATATCGCATCTCGTCGCGTGAATGCAACGAATTAACTAATGTCAATATATTCAATTCAAAAAGCAATTCATTCCCGAAGTGACTGATAAAATTCCCCATACTATGTGTCAATATAATATTGTACTTTTCAGTGTTTTTTTTTTCTCGACAGCAATACTTAACAAAGTCTATTTTATGTTCCTTTCTTTATATTAAAAATATATATTATGAAGTTGCATAATATTATGTACTATGTTTGAGCACACACACAGATAAATATAGATGAATAATAAAACGGTTTTTAGTTTTGTAAAAATTATAACTTTAGTCTTTGTTTTAATTTTTCAACTAAACCGTGCTCTACACCAATTTAACTCTTTCAAAGAGCATAACAATATAGTAATAATAATAATAATAATAATAAAAACAATATTGTAATAAACTCTTCCTGTCTCGGCGTTCTTCCCGGCAAAAACACTTTTTTCTTACCGAACGCCTCGTCGTAACCGCATCCGTTATACTAAACTTAATAGAATACACTCTGCAGCGTGTCTATAGTGACTTCGTAATATAATAAGAACGTACGCTACAAGTGCGGCGCCAGACATAAATAATTTTCAACCATCAAACCCAATGGTTGAGAAGTTTTATCAATTTTCCGAATATATTTTCTTAATGTTCAAATTTTTCTTATTTTTATACAATGTGTTGTAACGGTTTATGAGTAACTATTACTCCTCTCTGGTTATTGGAGTACAGGAAAAATCAAAACATCGTTTGGTATCATTTTATGGTCAAAGGACCAAAAAAAAATAATGTTTGTTTTGATAAATTACCTATTAATGAGTATGATTTTAGTATGTCCATGCTGAGAAGAAAAAATCCATTTGACTAGTCCGTTTATCTAACAGTAAACAAAATTGTCAACTTTTCAAAATTACCATCACGTCATAAGCCCTATAGAATTATCTTCCAAAATTAACCAATCTACCAGTATGCTCTAAAACCAAATTAGCGCTGATACAAAAAAAAATCTGAACAAGGCTTATAATGTTTAAAGAATAGATTAGATCTTGACTTCTAGTATTGACTCCCCGAGAGGTTGGTTGTAACGTGAGCCGGGGGTAAAATCCAGAAATACGCATAAATAAACTCTATAAATTCCTATATTGACTTTCTCTATAATTTCAATAAATAGACGTACCTAACAATGCACACAACGTATGTATACTGCATATGTACAATGTACGTATTACTTTTTTGAGATTTATAAAATATTCCTTCTTTGTAAAATCAGATATAAAATAAAGCTATAATTTTCGTAATGTGCTTTTCAAACTTTGAACTATATGTTACCTTTTTTGTACTAAAAAAAAAAATTATGTAGCATCTTACATTTCCTAGTAATACATTTTATGTAGTGTTTTAAATGTGATGAACATTATATCTCACGTATAATATTATTATGAATTGTGCAACAGGTTTTCTATAAAGAGAACTGATGAGCTACTCAATAAAAAATAAATGGTCACCTGTTACTATTCGATACCATCTATGTCGTTTATTTGGTGTTAAGGAGTAGAATGAAAAACGGTAGTCAAAACAACCGATTTATTGCTATTTTTTTTTATCTATCACCACAGCAATCAAATTTTTTCATTTCTTTTATTCAGTACTCTAAGTAATATTTTAAAGTACTCACATTGTAGGTGCAGGTGTGTTGTGATATTTCGTTTGAAAGCAATGATAAATCGTCGAATTCAATGGGGTTCGGTAAAAATCACGGTTGCTAACAATTCTTTGAAATCACTTGCACAAAAATGAGGAGATGGTTAATGATAGTGTTCTCCACGAAGCTAAAATAAATAAGAGAAAAAAAATAGATAACATTTCTTAGTAACCTCTCTAACTGGTCGAAAAGTCACATTCGATTTCTTACTATTACTAAAAGTTCCAAGGTATTTTGAAAAACTTTACGAGGAGTCATCTTACTTGGTGTAAGTCAAGTTTTCATAGACTTGAAAATATTCTAAAACTAAGACATTCATTGTTGTAAAGAGAGTACAAAATAAACATTATCGGTAAAAAAATATTGACACAATAATGTAATATTATAACCATTATTGTCGTTTGTCATTCATATTATTGTCGTCTACGGTATGGATCAAAATCTATACTAATATTTTACTCAAATTATTATCGTGTTGTCGTGTCACTACAATTATACATTTTGCAAGTTCCCACATAAAATTTATATTTTTTTATTAATCACATTCGGTTAGGTAATTAATTCTAATTTACATGACAGTTAAATAATATATTATTTTACGTTATAGTCAATGTTTATACAATCAAGACTAAAAACTCTTTTTCCTTTGGAAGTTATTATGGTGTTGGTATTTCAGTGGAGGTCTGGTTGTACAGCTTCTCCCAGTAGATTAGGAATGCTGTGTTTATTTCTTGAGTTTTCGAACTCTGGACATTCAGTTAATATAATATTATGCGTTTCACCGCGTATTCCACTCCAAGCGATGGTCATTTATGGGGGGGGGGATTTTCAGACATATCAAAATAAAATACGGCTTTTCCGTTTCGTATGACGATCCGTCGGCATACATAATATATACCGCACCGTGGTGACCGATTACCGTTTTATTTTTTTTTTGTAATCCACAGGTGTCCGACTGGCGGTTCCCATACAAGCGGTCGCACCATCCTGTGTGCATACACGCCGGCCAGGTGCTCACCGAGTTCGTGTTGAAGGACTGCGACGAAGGCGTTCAGCCGGGCACGGAACTTTACATTTTCCCGCAGGCCACGTCGTGCAAGTGTCACGCGTGCAAGTCGTCGGAGGCGTCTTGCGAGGGGTACCGGTACAAAGATTTCCAGTTCATTTCCGCCGACGAAGTCTGATGGGATTGATGATTTTAAGAAAACAAAAAAATGCGACGGAATTACGACGACAGAAAAACCGAATGAGACATCATATACTCACATATTACATATAAATATATATATTTATTATTATTATTATACGCGCCTTAGTTTTTCTTTTTCTTGTCTCCTTCGATTCTCATTATATCTACAATGCTCGTCTGTTATAATATTATTATTGTCTTTATCGTCACACACTCGACATAACACACTATTATTACTATGTTGTACACTATTAAGTTCTCTGTCAAATAATAATATCATATTATATATCTCATTGTTATCCGAAACGTGAAAAACTAAACCGATTATAATCTATAAGCCCTCGCCTGTCAATAAAATATAATTTTAATGTTTACTGTGTGCTTTTATATAATATCGTATAGTAATATTTATATATTATATTATATAAATATAAATATATATATATATATATATATATATATATATGAATTCTCGGTATACGTGTGTGCGACACGAATAACAATAAAAAAAAAAATTCAGATTAATTAAAACGAATACACGGCGTTAGTTTGTTTTTCCTTCCTGCTATTAATACGAGTACAAATCATATTGTTATGAACAAGTCTGATTACGAAAAGGCGCCGTCGGGCATGCATCGACAATATGTTTTGAACACAAACCGCCGAGATAAAAGTACGGGTGCAATCTATAGTGGGCTGAATACAGCGTGTGGGTAATGTACAAAGTGTTAGTTTAGTCACAAATCATACTTTTTCTCTGGTTGAGCGTAAGTATCGTAGATCAGTCAGCAGTGCACCGATATTTTGAGTGGCATCCAAAGTATGTGACACTTCACTCATCAGCTCGTCTAAACTTTTAATGCTCATTAGCGTTATAGTGTCTAGAGCTACGATTATATTGAATAACAAGACATAAAAAACTTATCTTAAAATTATTATAAAAAATTTAACTAATCAAAAAAAGGCAGAAAAATCCAAAAAATTATTTTTAATTGCACTAGTTATTTATGTCCTAGAGATCATACGAAAACAACGCGAGCTTCTATGAAATCCTATATTCTCAGAAAAAATATGTCCTACCTATTAATATTAAAATAGAAACGTTTGTCAAAAATGATTTGTTCGATGGTGTTTTATTATAATGATTTCAAAATATTATTATATACACCTTTTAGTGCATACATTAGATCATTATATAAATAGGTTAAGTCGTTAGTCGCAGATTATTTACGTTTTTTATTTCAAGAAATCAAAAAAAAAACGATGGGAAGTGTTTAAGAATTTCAAACTTGCAAGCTCTGGTTTGATAAAAAAAAAAAAAATTGTACTACTGACGAATTTGAGATTATTCTGTGAGAATATAAAAAGACATCGGAAAAAAATGAAAACACGATATCCTCTCCGATTCGTCTGAATGATGTTCATAATGATTCTGCTGGAGCTTTCAATAAACCATCGATTTTTCTCTGCCAGCGAACTACATATTAAATTATGTAAGTATATATTTTATCTATATTTTACACTAGTTATTCAACCATCGGCATCGATAATAGCCATAATCTTCGCACAGCGACGGTCTATTCGGTGGATAGTTTTAATATGATAATTAGTCGTCTGGTCAAATCACTGCGTACAATGTTTTACGACATATTATGTAAAATTACAGCACAACAATTGCGTAAATCAACAGCTATTTACAGCTTCAGTTAATTTTAGTCGGCGATGACGGTAAATATACAATTTGGTAAAAAAATCCAAAGACAGATGGAAACCATGGAAAAATAATTTTTTCCTCTTTATACTGTGTACTTAATTAAATGGTAGAAAGATGTATGTAATTATTCGGTAGAAAATTAGATAGTTTAATTTGTATTCACATATTTGTTGCCTAGGTAATAAAAGCTATTACATTATAATTCTAAATACTATGAAACTATTTTTGTAAATTATATTATTATTAGATTTATTTTTTGCTAAAAACGAATTCAATTGCATTATTAAAAGCAATGCATAATAAAAAAAATCTTTTTAAATATAATATAGGCTCTCATCTCCGCTCAGAATCGTCTTCCGTATGCAATGATTTAATATTCAACTCAAATGTAATAAACATATTTTATACAGCTACCTACGACCTACTCAACGACGAGATACACCTGATAACTTCTATATATTGCCGAGGGTTTCCAATTTTTTCTTCTCCTTGATTATTTTGAAACGTTCTGAGACATTTCAATTTTAGACCATAAAGAGTAATGTAATAATTTTTAAACAAATACATTAATTCATACGCTCAAAATCTATTAGATATATACGTCTTATACTTGTCTACGAATGCTCTTCGTGAATCGTAACCGACATTTGTGCTGAAATTTTTTTTCTGTTGAAACAATTATTATAGTTTTATATAGTGGTAAAGTTTTTTTTTTTGAGTGAAGTTTCGATTGGAAACAAAACCCCGCTGAATGAACGAAAATTGTAAACAATAGCTTCTCTTACCGTTCGTCGAAAGAACAATACAACTACTATAAAGTGATTATTTTTGTAAATATAATCAGTGTGACGTGTATGTAGTGTTACAATATCTGGAATACATTGAACCACTGATGAGATTAAACACACGTGGCCAACAATAATAAGACAGTCAATTGCGTGTGTGTTATTTTCAATGTTTCTACGATGGGATTAAAGAATTCTCCATCACACTTTCGAACGAGATCAGCTGTAATTTTTGGTCTGACGAACAATCCTAATTTATTATTATTCCTAAATTATGCCACGCGCATTACACACTAATTCAATGTACTTCTATTACAGAACACTGATTTCAGGCATATATATATATTATATCAAAAGAATAAGTCATGAACGGGTTAAGTATTGACAATGAATAATTACTATAAAATGTAAGACTTAAAGTTAAATTATTATACTCGGTATAATACAAGCGACCGAACGTTTATTTTATCAAAGGATATTATGAAATATAAAAAATGTTTTTCGGTCCAGCACATTATTTAAATTAACAATAAAACAAGTATAAAAGCTTTAATTTTAGAATTAAGAACCTCTAAAAATATTATATTATTATATAATGTATTTTTTAGTTCAAAATTAATTGAAAACCCAAAAAGAAATAAATGTAAAGGTTTTCATAGCAGCTATTAAAGTCGTTTGAAATATTAAATGTACATAACATTTTGCGTTGCCTTTATAACGGTATAATAATTTTTCATAGTAAGTACGTACTATTTCCAGAAAAATCGTAAAACTAATCAAATTAATATTTTGCTTTGAAATGTGGTTGCTTCCAACGAACGGCCAAAGACTATATTTATTGTTCTAGGCCACTAGGGTATTTGATAGTTGTCACTACCTCGATGCAGTTTGTTAATAATTATAAAAAACAATCAATTAAATTCGTGTGTATCCAAAAAACATATAATAATAAATCACGTATTACAAAAATTAAATTTAAAAAGTTTAGACAGACAAGGTGTATAATTGACGTGAGAGTTAACGTCTGATAGACTCGGTTTTTTTTTCTAATTAACATGTAATCAAAAATCAAAAATTATAAATTATTTTAATGCTGATTCGAGAAAAAAAAATTTGTTTTGAAAAAAAATCAATTTCACTGCGCTTCTGATTATAAAATAAAAAATGGCAGCCGAGCAGAAAACCGTGAAATTACTACAAATACACAAAACGATTTATATTAGAAGTCAATTAAATATTAAAATCCAGCCACCAAGGCTGACTATTTGGTTTTATAGCAAATCACGATTGTGAGATGAATGAAAGCGAACGAACCACGATATGATTAACAATTGTATGCATATAGCAGAACATTGAATTTAAAATATATAAGTATACGTTTAAACTTTCATCAAATCCGCACGAAATCAAAATGGCAAAAATTATTTACTACCAGTTAAATAATTTTTCCGCTCAAACTAAATCTCATTTTAATTTATAATTCGAAAAAATATAGAAAAGGCTCTATACTAATTTTGATCATTTTGCCAAATTCTATAAACTCAAACCATAACATCACGAGACTTGTGACGTTTGGTTTTAGATAAAACATATAGTTGTATGTATTATAGCTCAATACAAAAACTTCAACCCGCCAAGACCGTCCTCAGTACATTATGATTTTAAAAAAAAATCGTGAAGTTCCACAAATGAAAAACGAGACCGGGAATATCAAAAATTTAAATACATTTACGGAAGTTGAACAGCTTAGTAAAAGGAACAAAGATAAAGTGAAAGCTAAAAGTTCCACAATATAATCATCTTTGGTGTCCTTTAGGGGGCTTTTATCCAATTTACACTTAACACTGGGTATCCATTGTGTAATTATACTTTAAAATAAGAAAAAACCTTTAAATTTCAACATTTTTTGAATTAAGAAACGCCGAGTCGAATGAATATTTTTAACGACTCTAACAAATTTTTTTTTATTATAGAATATCATTCGTTTTATTATTTTTACCTAATATTGTGGTCGAGAAGAAAATACATTACCTACACTTAACTTAATTTTTTCATTAGACACGTCGGGTGTCGTTCAAAAAAAAAAAAGTACCAAATACCACAATTTGCACTACACCAGTTGTACCGACAAATTCGAAAAAAATTAACCGTTGCGTTTTCGTCGATCATGTCGGACGGTTACTCGTCCGTTGGAGATACATATGAGGCAAACATATTTATACAATTGTTTATTTTGAATATCAATGCCACAAGAACATACAGTAAAGATTGTAACGTTAAACAAAAATCACAAAAATTATTAAGAATTAATTAGGTACAGTAACCAAAAAAAAAAATACAATATATAGCGATTAGTTCTCTAAGATTCCAACAATATTGTGTTTGCGTGTAAGTCATTCAGTTGATAATCTCAGTTATTCGTGGCTGTTAAATATAAATATTTCCTTTCCATATTGTAGTATTGTAGTATTTTTACGCAGTCGCATGGTAAGATTAATTGTCAGTGGTCACCGCGGGGGACATAATTTTAGAAGCGTTTCTATTAGACAAATAATTAAGCCTAACCCATGTCTGTCAAAATACGACAGTTGTTATTTGTTTGAACTTGTTTCAAACTAGCTGCGCACGCATAATACGTATGTATGGAAACAGACCGATGAGATAAACAATTTAATAATTATGGTATTTCTGGACTAATATAATATCATTATAAGTGAATCATAATATTATACACTCTGCAGCAAAACCGCCAGAACCGTATAAGTCCAAAATAATAATAATAATAATAATAATGTTAGCTTACCTGAAAAACAATATGGCAGCGATAATTATGATCTATTAGATCTTAGATGGTGGTTTGTGAGTGACGACTAGT